AATACAGTGTTGTCATTCTGCAATCCCTTTTCCTCTATTCCTCTATACCATCAAGATTTTGAGAATGCACACAGATGCACTTGGCATGTGTTTTACCCCCCAAGCTGCTGGGGCTTAAACTACAACTGGCCACATGGGATCTAGCTCCCAATAACAGAGTTTAAAAACAGCTATGAGGCCAGTCTAGGAAATTTTCACCAGAACTGAACTAGACACTGAAGCCTTGGGCCAAATGGTGGTACCGTGGTAACAGACCTGGACCCACAATTCTGGGCTCATGACTCAGGGCCTCTCTTTGCCCACTAGGTGTATGTGGGCACGTGCCTGAAATCTGGGTTACCCGAGGCTGTGGAGAACTTGTTGGGAGTGCCTATTTGTCTCTCCCTCAGAAGAAGAAACAAATAAAACTTAAACAAAAAATTCTGGGAACCAGCAGTTAGCGTAATGGCTATGTCGCTGGACTCCCACGTAGTCAACCGCGGTTCGCGTCCTGGACCCGGTGGCTTAAAACTCACGCCGGGCGCGTGTGCGTACGTGCCCAAGATCCCGAGAGGAGAATGGAGGAGAAGGGATTGCGGCGTGACCATCCCCCCTGGGGGGTGATTTCTCGCTTTCTGTCTCTATGTCTCTCTCTGTCTGTCTGGCGAGCGCACGCGCCCTATAGCGAAAAAAACCTCTCAAAAAAAAAATCCAATGAGAGATCAGCAGTTAGCATAATGGCTATGTCGCTGGACTCCCATGTAGTCAACCGCAGTTCGCGTCCCAGACCTAGTGGCTTAAAACTCACATCAAGCGTGTGTGTGTGTATTCCCAGGATCCTGAGAGGAGAACGAGAAGGGACTACGGTATGGCCATTCCCCCTGGGGGTGATTTCTCGCTTTCTGTCTCTCTGTCTCTCTGTCTGTCTGGCAAGCACATGCACCCTATAGCAAAAATATAGCAAAAACAACCAAAAACATCCAATGAAGCCTAACGTAAGGATTTGTTAGTATTTCTTCTTTTGAGCAACCATCAAAATTCTCTTTTAGACAAAACATGTGCACTTAAAACACAAAAACAGTGCATTACTCTTTTAACCATTTTTTTTTTTTTTTTTGGAGAGGTTTTTCCGCTATAGGGCGCGTGCGCTCGCCAGACAGAGACATAGAGACAGAAAGCGAGAAATCACCCCCCAGGGGGGATGGTCACGCCGCAATCCCTTCTCCTCCATTCTCCTCTCGGGATCTTGGGCACGCACGCACACGCGCCCGGCGTGAGATTTAAGCCACCGGGTCCGAGATGCGAACCGCGGTCGACTACGTGGGAGTCCAGCGACATAGCCATTACGCTAACTGCTGGTTCCCTAACCTTTTGTTTAGTATCTATAAGTTTAATTATTAAGGACAACTTAAAACAGAAAATCACATTTTTTTCCTTACTACATTTGATCTTAAATAAGATATTTCATTTTCTCAAAGTAAACTTGTGCTTAATTTTTCAAGCCAGCAATTCAATTCTCCTCTTGGAATTTTGGACACACACATACACACACACACCTAGCATGATCCTCAAGCCACGGGTCTGGAACTTGAACTGCTAGTTGGCCATGTGGGATCCAGTGCCTTAACCTCTGCACTACCTGGTGGCCCCAACATAAATAACTTTAAAAATCCAAAAGATGCTAAAAACAGAGGAAACTGGGTCTGAGGCATATGGGAACTCTCTTGACTTTTCTGTAAATTGAAAAACAATTCTAGAAGTTAAATAAGAAAATCCAGGGGGCCAGCAGGTGGTGTGGTGGTTAAAGTGCTAGACTATCCATGGTCCACCTGCAGCTTCAGTCTGCCCTCAATCATGGGCGTATGTGTGCCTGCCATAACTCAGGGAGGTCTCCGGACGTGAATCCAGAACTCTTACACGGGCCAGCCTCACGGCATACTGTGTTTTACCACTATCTCATCACCCAGCCCCCACATGTTGTTTATTTTAAAATGCCATTGAACCTTCTCTCGTTAAAGATCTAACACTAGGGGACCAGCAGATGGCATAATGGTTATTTTGCTGGACTCCCATGTAGTTGGCCATTGCTCGGACTTGGCAGCTTAGAACTCACACTGGACATGAGTGCACATGTGCCTAAAATCCCAAGAGGAGGACAGAGGAGAAGGGACTGTGGCATAGCCATCCCCTTTGGGGTGTGATTTCTTACATTCTGTCTCTTTCTCTTTCTCTCTGGAGAGCACACATGCCCTATAGCAAAAATCTCTCCAAAAAAAAAAAAGGAAGAAGAATAAAAGGCTCAACACTAGCGTGCACGATGAAGATATCTTTCAAAAGAATCCTATCCTGGCTCGGAGAGTAGGGCACTGCTGTGATGCTGGAGACCAACTGGGAAGTCTCCGAGTTCCACCGTGGATCTGCCCGGGCACAGCCAGGATGCAGGGCAGGGAGAGAACTGTACCGAGAACACATTGCTTGTTACAGTGCCTGTCTGCTACTCTCCCACTCTCATATGAAGGAAACAAACAACCCTAAAACAACAACAAACAACAACCAGCCACAGCAAGCAACCTCCTCATTTTCATACTTTCAGTAATCACTGCCTCTGAGGAATTAGCTACCTACTATGGATACTGCAATAGAGACATGCACTTAAGCAGTTACAACCACCATAACTATCAAATAAATAGCAAATTATAATCCATTACAAGTGTCACGCTAATAGTACCTATAAGGTAACAAGAGAACAGAGGAAGAACACCTAATTCTGAATGAGCTTCAAAGAAAGTGTCAAGAAGCAGAGGCTTGTAAACACCTGTGAACACCGATCAAGGAATGCTGATTATGACTGTAGCCTCTACAAACATATCACAAAAAAGCGAATACAATTACATATGGTTTAAAAATAGAGACTTGTTTTCGATTACTTAATCATCTCTTAGTCTTATAAAGGGATTCTTTCCATTTTCTGGCTATGCAAATTTTTTTTTAAAAAGAACTGCGCAGACAATCCAGTCTTTCATCAGTCTGTCCTTCTCTGCCCGTGCTAGTTTACTTACATGTTGCAATGAGCTCGCAAACAATTGGCTTAGATGCCGAGTTTACCCTCTATTATTTGAGCTCAGGAAGAGTCATTTTCTGTAAGAACCAAAAAAATGAGCAACTTACTTACAGTCTGGTTTTCAGTAAGAAGGTGGCCTTTTTAAGTGCATAGTCCCTTCTCTTTGTAAGTAACAGAGCGACCAGAGGAAAGGAAATGCCACTTCTCAGTATTTCTCAAAAGAGATTTATAGAACAGTTTACTCTGAACTGTTACATATTTTCAAGAGATGGGCACTTTAAAAGTAACTTCAGATAATTATTATCAACTTTAAAAATATCTTGAGATTATTTATACTACAAACCCCAGCTCAGATAAGAATATTACACGTTAAGGGACCAGCAGATGGCATAATGGTTGCGTCACTGGACTCCCATATAGTCGACTGTTCAAATCCAGACTCAGCAGCTTGAAATTCATGCTGGGCACGTGTGCATATGTGCCCAAAATCCCAGAAGAAGTATGGGAGAGAAGGGATTGTGGCATGGCCATGCCCCGAGGGTGATTTCTTGCTTTCGGTCTGTCTCTGTCTCTCTCTCTCCCCCTCTCTCTGTCTGTTTGGCGAGTGCACACACTGTATACCAAAAACCTCTCTCAAAAACAAGAGAGGGGAGGATGGCAAGTGGTGTGGTGGTTAAGGGCTGACCATGGTTCAAGTCCCTGACCTGGAGGCTTGCTTTCTCTCTCCCTCTCTCAGTGTGTCCCTCTTTGGTCAAATTTAAATAAATACCTAAAGTTAAATAAAATAATTCTAACAAAAAAAGAATACTATATATTAAATGAAATAACAAAATAATTTTTAAAATCATCAATTGCAGCACAGCACCTAGCACACTGTCTGGCAGAGTGGATGTTCAATAAACACGTTAAGTAAAAAAGCAAACACATAATTCACATATATTCACCATGCTAATCAAAATTATGCAATATACTGCTGTTTTTAATGACAGAGACAGAGAGAGCAATAAAATGGTGTCATGTCATGCCCTGTTGAACTTTCCCCTGCCCTCCAGCTCCTGAATATCTTGGGTACCTACACACACACCCAGCATGCTTTCAAGCTAACCTGGGGGGGGTCTAAACCTATGGTCAGCCATGCGGCCTCTGGCACTGCACCTCCTAGACAGCACCACCTCAGCTGGGCCCACCACACACTCCTTTTGGTCATACTGATAATGAATCGAAAATGACCACTATGGCATTATCTACTCCAGTTGCAAAGCATAAAGTTCAGCATCTATTATTTTTAGTGTGTTTTTATAATTCACTCAGGAAATTACTGAGTGCTAGCTGCAATAAATATATCTAGAAAAGTTACTCTCAAGATATTCTCAGTCATTCTTCATTAAAAATTAAACGAAGAGGCCCAGCTGTGGTGGCCTTGCTGCTAACATGCTGCATTCCACAATCTGAGGCCACACGGGAGGCCTGGGTTTGATCTCTGGTCAGGCACAGTGGTATGCTCCTGTAATCCAGAGATGCGTGGAGGCCAAGGCAGGAGGATCGTTAGCCAGAGGCTGGCCTAAACATAACCAGATCTGCCTAATAGAAGAGCAGGTACAGTGGCACAGGTCTGTAGTCTCAGCTGGGAGGTGAGGCAGAAAGAACACAACACAGTGACACTTGCCTTTCAAAGGAAAAAAAAAGTAAACACTGAGAGGTCAACATGAGAATAAAGAAGGCAGGAAGAACAGAAATTAGAAATTAGGGGAAGTGGCAGCTGAATATTAAGTTACTAGAGATTAGAGAGTCATGACCTACCTGAGAAAACACAGCCATGCTAAAACAAAGACGGACTTAGAGCTCCCATCGCCACCCTTCACCCACTGTTGCACAGTGCTCTCAAGGTCCACCTCCCAGTGCTTTCCCATATCTGAGATGGACATTTAGTACGAAGAGACTGCAGGATTTTTATACTTACTGGTAAATGTTCAAGTAATGAAGTTACACTCTCAGACACATAAATTATGCTTCCATCTGTCATAATTGCTAAAAAAAAACCATCAAGAGCCTGAAATTAAACATAATGGTCAGTTAAATGAAAAGAAAACAAGTATTTCACAAAAAATAAAATCTAAGATAGGCAACAAGGAACTTAATGTAGAAATACCCAGAGTACCATCAAAATGCTAGCTTTTCTCCTTTACAATACCTTAGTATGTACCTGGGCATTTTAAAATGCATCTAGGAAAAAAATGCTCACTCTCTTGTCATATCCCGGACAGAGGAATTATAGAGACTGATGACCCATCTTTATCATTATGTATATTATGACTCAACTAAGTACATCTACCCTGGCACACAGAAGAGCGTATTATTATTACTTTAGATATATTAACAGAGAGGCAGGTGCATGAATGAAGTGTAGGAAATCATGTAGGAGATAACCAGGAATACCAGAACAGATAAAGCAATCCTGCCCCGCACACATGACAACCAGTTCTCATCCGAGCATCTTAGTACCAGGGTAACATCTGAAGAAATGAGATTTGCAAAAGTGAGTAGTAAATCCCTGGAAAAATACATATGAGGATGAAGAGGAGAAAAATAAGCAAAAGAAAACAGAATACACATACTGCTGTCAAAGAAGCCAATGGAAGAGAGACTGGTAAGGTGAGTGGGGAGGAAGTGTACAAGTGGGTGGAGGAACAGGAAAGAAATAAATTCTGGCAACTTTCCAAAGTTATAACAATAAGGAAGCAAATCACACTACGAAATGAGTTCAGAAATGAGTGGTTATAGGGACCAGCAGATGGTATAATGGCTATGTCGCTGGACTCCCATGTAGTTGACTGCGGTTGGAGTCCTGGACCCGGAGATTTAAACTCACACTGGGTGTGTGTGCATGCCTGCCCAGGATGCTGAGAGGAGAAGGGATTGCAGCATGGCCACCACCCCCCACACTCCTCACCAGGGGCAGGGGTGGATTTCTCGCTTTCCGTCTCTCTGTATCTTTCTGGTGAGCACATGGCGCCCTATAGCAAAAACCTTTCCAAAAAAAAAAAAAGAAAGAAAGAAAGAGGAAGAATGGTTACCATTCATTCGCAAACCTTTGAAGGGAAAAAGAAGGGAACAAAGTTTTAAGGGGATCACGTTAGTATATTTGTAGGCTTAAGAAAATGAAGATCCAGTGGAGAAATTGAGGACATATATAAGAAAAGATATTACAAGAGGCCTCTTTTTCTCCTATCCAAACAGTTATCACATTAAATTCTAATTTCTTGTTTTTAATTAAAGCGCTCCCTCAAAAAGAGCAACAAGGTGAGAATCACAGGTATTATATTCAAACTTGTATCTGCTGTACTTACCATGTGTGTGGTGTAAGTAAAAAATACTTGTAGTATTTAATTTATGTAGCATTAATTAAGTTAGAGGAACCCCTCTAAGTTCTAGGTAAGTTTGCATATAAAGATAATAGCTTTTCTCTCCCACTGAGAGAGAGATATCAACCCCCAAAGGACTTCCTTCTAAAATGGCTTGGAATATTACATATAAAGATAATAGCTTTCCTCTCCCACTGAGAGAGAGAACTCAACACCCAAAGGACTTCCTTCTAAAATGGCTTGGACAAATCTTGGCTAATGTGGGAAAGACGTGTGAAAATCCTGTAATTTAAGCAAACTCATGTATTATTTAAAAAATATTCTCTAGTATAATAACGACAGTAGTATTATATAATAAGGAATAGGATCAAAGTGATGTTAAGGAAAAACTATGCTTTTCTCATTTGAAGCGAGACTATGTCACCTTTGGAAGGAAATTAATATTCACTAAGATATGTATTTGCTCTTAGGATATTTGCAAGGGAGTGAGTGCAGCTCTCCTCTGAAGAGAACAAACTGGTATCAGAACTCCTAATACCACTTCTAGAACTAAAGCCTCTTTCAAAACAGGTGAAGACTAGGCCGAGAACATCACCATCAGCATCTTGCCAACATCTCAGCACAAGGAAGGCCTCTTGGGCCCAGACTCCCTTTCAGTTGACGGATATAATTTCCCAGGAGGTAGGTGGGTACAACCAGAACGAAAGGAGTCTTGAAGAAGGTCTTCACAGAAGGAAAACTGAGAGATGTGCAAGAGAGAGAAAGAGAACACCCTCATCCCAAAACTAATCCTTCCTGATCCTTCTAAGAGAAAAGGTTGATAGTTAAAGCTCCTTATCTTCCTATTTGATATCTACTTAACCCACAATAAAAGACAAATGTAAACCACTTGCTAAGTGACTGTTCGGTCTGGGGGAAATTGGAACAGCAGTTCTAGTGAAGAGGACAGTAGCCCTTGTGGATTCACAGCCAAGGTGAAGCTAACACAGGAACAGCCCTTCCCTTGCAGATTACTGCAGAGAGCGGTCACAGCCAAGGGCAAAGAACCACACACTAGGGGATGACTTCACAGAGATGACTTGGCAGAGATCTGATCGGGTTAAACTGCCCCGACAGCCAGAGTCTACTTCCAATCCAAAGATAGCAACAAGTGCTCCTCAGGCAGCAGAGACAGACCAAAAAGGACAGGAGTCAATGGAGTTAGAGGAAGAGGACTGCCATCTAAGCTATCGGCATTTCGAGACCTCGGTTCCAGTTCTTTCATTAGTTAGCTATCTGACCTTGGGCAAGTTGCAAGTTCTCCAAGTCTCATCTACAAAACGAAAAGACTGAGCTAAATGATCTAATTTCTTCTCTGAGCAGTTCAGCCTACCTTTGAAATTCTGCTATGAATGGTATGTGGACTGCTTTCTATAATCTGATAAACATGACTAAGGGAGAGTAATATAAGATTATATTTTAACCAAATAATTCACTCAAGCAAAATCTGTTTAAATTATGAATCAAATATTTTCTAATTCAAAAGCGTATTTAGAAAAACTTTAATTAGGCATGTGACAAAGTTCAGCAAACATCTGGACCCTGGTAGTAACCGATACACATACATATCCTTCATCTTAGCATATTTATGTTATTCAGTAGACTGTATACTTAGCTAACTGTAAATATAAAAATCAAAAATACTCTTTGTCATATTAAAAAACAAATACATGTGGAGCCAGCGGGTGGCATAGTGGTTAAGGCACTGGACTCCCACATGGCTGACCATGATCTGAGTCCTGGATCTGGTGGATAGAAAATCATAATAGGTGCATATTTTACATGCACAAAATCCCAAGACGGAGAATGGGGAAGGGAATGCAGTGGCCATTTCCCTGGGAAAAAAAAAGAGCTCATTTAGTAACTTTTGAATTATTTTATGATCATATTCCCTGTTTAATAAGATCTGTGTTAATTATAAACTACTTATATGATTTCTCCCTTTCCCTCTCATTGTCTTTGTCTCAATCTGGTGAGCATACACACCCTATGGCAAAAAATTTTAAAACACAACAGGGACCAGCAGTAAGCATAACAGCTATGTCGCTGGACTCCCATGTAGTCGACCACAGTTTGCGTCCCAGACCTGGTGGCTTAAAACTCATGCTGGGCGCGTGTGCGTGCATGCCCAAGATCCCGAGAGGAGAATGGAGGAGAAGGGATTGCGGCGTGGCCATCCCCTCTTGGGGGTGATTTCTCGCTTTCTGTCTCTCTGTCTGTCTGTCTGGTGAGTGCACGCACCCTATAGCAAAAAAAAAACAAAAACAAAAACAAAAAAACCTCTCAAAACAAATATTTTTTTAAACAAAACAAAACCCCAAAACAAATAAATACAACTTTTTCCAAGAACAAAATCCTAAAAGGCTGTGAAGATAATCATGAGGAGATTAATTTACATTTTCAAATGTTTTAAGACATCTATGGCTTCCTCTGTCATATGCTATAAATCAGCTATTTGACTTTGGACGAGTTGCAAGTTCCCCGTTCTTTTAAATAATTTTAAAGTCTCCACAATCTTTGACTCACTTTTCTTTGATACTTACATCCTGCAGCATGTACTAAATGTACCTTGGAAATTAATGAAATAAATCTATCCAATGTAGAGAAAATTCAAAGATAAGATTTTTCTGTTTATAGAAAAATGAATCATTTATCTACATTAAGGTTAATTAAAAAGTGAAGACTAGGTATTACAGCAATTTTTTAACTTCTAAAAAATTTTTCATACCAGTAAAGCATATAAGTAGTTTATAATTAACACAGATCTTATTAAACTGAGAATATGATCATAAAATAATTCAAAAGTTATTAAATGAGCTTTTTCCCTTTTTTTTTTTTTTTTTTGGAGAGCTTTTTCGCTATAGGGCGTGTGCGCTCGCCAGACAGACAGAGAGAGACATAGAGACAGAAAGCGAGAAATCACCCCCCATGGGGGATGGTCACGCCACAATCCCTTCTCCTCCATTCTCCTCTCGGGATCTTGGGCACGCACGCACACGCGCCCAGTGTGAGTTTGAAGCCACCGGGTCCAGGACGTGAACCACGGTCGACTACGTGGGAGTCCAGCAACACAGCCATTTCGCTAACTGCTGGTTCCCATTCCCTTCTTTATTGAAGACATTATTCATATGTAACACTTACATCCAGAGAACTTTCAGAGAACTTTGGATAGTGTCAAACTATTTTTTAGAAAAAAAAATATTAGGAACTATTATTTGGTTTGGAACGTAGGTGTAGGTTAAAGAGCAGATTGTTGGTCACTGAGCTAAACTTTTATGCCAAGGCTAGCTTTCGCTAAAGAGAGTCTGCAGAAAGGCAAGAATGCACAGAAGCTGTGGCAGTGGGAGCAGAGGCCGGTCTGAGCCACTTAGTAACTGTGTTACTTGGGCAAGTTTTGTAATCCCTTTGTTCCTAGATTTCCTCATCTGGAGGTAAGAGGTACTAATAACTATTTCATAATACTAGTTATTATGACACAGGGATACTCATGTTTACTTCATAACAATGTTGTGAGAATTCAATGCGTTAACATATGAAAAGTGCTCAGGTATTCTTCAGACCTAAACTGTAGGTTAAAATATTTATAATACATTTATTCTAAGAAATTTTCATATGGCAATATTTCTGCTATATACATTGATTTAATCCAACAATTAACTGTACCATCTAAAGTAGAAACAGAAAGTCATTAATTTGTAAAACAGTCTATCTTGCTTCAGACTTCAGTAAATAAAGACACCTGAAACATGGCCATTATATATACATACATATGGATAAATGCTTAAGGTCTAAAATAATAAACCCAAATTAACAGGTTAAGAGGCTAATAAACCAACCACCTCTACAGCCCCACCTCTACTGCTTTCCTTGTTTACATTCTCTTACCTATCTATTTTTTTGTCCTTAACTGTTACCTTCAAAGTAAAACCATCTGTTTCCTATTTATTGTAAGTTTTCATGGAAATGAGAAGCTGAATTTTATGTGTGTTGTGTACAGACAAATATAGGTAATACCTATATTATTCTACATAGGACAAAAACTAAAAAGTAGAATATAAAATTGACAGGCATGAATGACTCAACATTTTTGTGAATTTTATAACTGGCTGTAGGAGATATTAAATTCTACAAGTATAAGCAAAAATGCTCTGAACTGTTTTGAAAAATAATTCTGTCCCAGTAGAACATTTCTATTTAACAGTTCCTACTTGAATTTCCATTAAAAAGTTTCTACTTGGCCTTTTGGGCCAGCAAGTAGCGTGGTGGTCAAAGCGCTGGACTCCCACATGGCCAACCACAGTACAAGTCCCAGACTTGGTGGCTTGCTTTCTCTCTCTCTCTCTCTCTCTCTCTCACACACACACACACACACACACTCGGGTGTGTGTGAGTTCCCTGGAGCAGAATAGAAAATAATAATAATAAATTTAAAAAAAATTTTGGAGAGGTTTTTGCCATAGGTGTGTGCACTGACCAGAAAGAGAGAGAGAGACAGAGAGATGGAAAGCGAGAAATCACCCCCCAGGGGGGATGGCCACGTCGCAATCCCTTATCCTCCATTCTCCTCTCGGGATCTTGGGCATGCATGTACACATGCCTGGCGTGAGTTTAAGCCACCGGGTCTGGGATTTGAACCACAGTCGAATACATGAGAGTCCAGCAACATAGCCAGTACACCATCTGCTGGTCCCAATGATAAATAAAATTTTTTAAAAACGTAAAGAACTGCCTTTCAATGTATATTTTGCTTTCTATATTTCCAAATGTTTTATTTACTATTATTTTGTTATTGAAAAGGTTTTAACTTACTGTTAATAAGTTGCTGAATGATAAGATACTATTCTAGACTGTGCCCCACCTCACCCCAAATTCTTCTGTTGAAACCTAATCCCCAGTTTCATGTTCTTTGGGCCATCATTAGAGAGGTGATTAGGTCATGAGGGTGGAGCCCTCACAAATGGGATTAGTGTCATAAAAGAAGCCTGAGGGAGGGAGTGCCTCTGCCCCTTCAGTGAGGACACAGTGAGAAAACAGCCATCTTGGCCAGGAAGCAGCCCTCACTGACACCAAATCTCCCAGCACCGTAACCCTGAGTTTCCCAGCCTCCAGAACTGTGAGGATGAAGTTCCCGCTGTTTCTAAGTCACCCAGTTAATGGTATTTGTATGACACTGTGAATGGACTAAGACCCGTTTCATAAGGGCTATCATGTGATGATACAATACTAAACATTATTCTTTATTAGAATGTTATGTCAGGTTGAGAACTAAGTAGCTGAAGGCTCTAATTTTTATTAAGCCTCTCAAAAATTCAGATAATACTGAAAATACATATTACTGTCACTGTGCTACAACACAGTATCGTCTACTTACAATACCTACACTGATCAGTTTTAATTGAAGATATAGCTTATCGAATTTATACTAAATCAAGACTTTTCCATATTAAAACAATACTGCTGACAATAGACAAAAACTAGTTACCCTCATGATTTATTTTTTGGGGAAAATAGAAAAATTAAATCTGGACATACCTCTAACATTAATTGTGTAAACTCTTCATTACTAAGGAATGTAGGTTTCCAGTCCTGTCGAATCTCACTAGCGTCTGACTGTGCAGTGATTTCTGAAACAGACGGACACATTAGTGGCACACTCTATCCACTGCGGGTACCAAAGTCCTGACAGCGGCCTGCTCTCTTTCTCCTCTTGTTGAAGATGAAAACCACAGGCAGTAACATTCACTTGTCTAGCTAGCAGAAGTCCAGGTTTGGTATGATGAAATATCTGAGTTAATGTGGCAAGTTATCTCCTTGGATTTGGTCTCTGGGCAAAACCAGACACTGTTTTTTCTCTAGGGAGCTTTGACAGCCTGTATTGCTAGAGGCCTGAGATAGCTTCCAGCTCGACACACAGAACCTGAACAAGCAGACTAGATCAAGTTTGCTGCAAACATTTTGAAGACGTTCTTTTTTCCTTCTTTTCCTTGCCATTCGAATGGTAACATCCAGAGCGCCGATAAGGAAGTGAGCCTGAAGGAAGCTGGCCAAGTAGGTCAGCCAGTCTGCTTTGAACGAAATAACTTTAGGTCTACCATTGTCAGGCAAAAAGATTTCCCTCAATCTCTAATGCTCCATCTTAATTAGTCCAGGTGACAAAATTAAGACTTTGGGCAAAACCTTTATAGTAATATTCCCAGAGTGATTCTGCTTAGTGTTCCTTTTGCACATGTTCAGAGTAGATGGGAGCTGGAAAAAATGTGCAGATCTCTGGCTTGGGACATAAACTTTATCTCAATTACTACTAATTCTGTGAGCTAGTCATAATTTTCAAATTCACATCAATTATATATATTTAGAGAAAATCCACAGGTAAATCTGATCAAGTTTAAACACAGGCCTATTCTAAAATGGCAAAGTATAAGAATTCTTCCTTAGTTTAAGATAAATTTTATTTTGTGAGAATCACATGTCCAACTTTTTTTTAGGGTCATCCACCTAGTGCCAGAATTAATCCTACTGTCAGGGGGAAAAGTACACCTTTTTTTTTTTATTTCATTCAACAATCATTTATTGAATTTCTACAATGTCTAAGGGATTGATTTCAAGAGTGACATCCAGCAAGGGGCACTGAAGATCATGAGAATACTATTTTTAGAGGTAAAATGAAATGATAGTGGTGGCAATAAAAATGAAGATTAAACCAAAGAATGAAGAGAATTTGGTAACTGTGGTACTAAGGAAAGAAAAAAAAAAATCCAAAAGTATTTTCAATTTTGAGTCCTGAGTGACTAAAAGGATGACAGGAGGGTGGAAAAAGGGGCCTAGGCACAGTGACACAGGCAGTTAGGGTGCCACTGCATGACACTGGATGTCCACCGGGAACACCCTGGCACACCCTTGGGCATGCCCATTACCATGGCTGGCCCAAAGATTATAAGGGAACTGCAGTATTGCAAGGGTGCCTGTATGTGTGTCTTTCAATAAATAAACTTATAAGAAAAAAAAAACAAAACAAAACAAGTGTGGGCTGGACAGTGCCACAGCAATTAAAACTCTGTGAGACTGACTCCACATGGCAGGGTCAGGGTCACAGCCAAAGACTTCCCTGAGTATCAGCACACGCACTCATAATCCAGGGCTGGCTGATGCTAGAGAGAGAGCAGGGTCAGACCCTGTCGAGATACTGCTTGTCTCTCTCTCAGTAGAGGAAGAAATAAACTTCTTTAAAAAATGGGAAAAGGTAAGTTAAGAAAAAAAGACTCTACAATGAAAATAAATTCAGTTTTAGATGTTAAGAGTTTGAAGAAAAGCAACAGAAAGATCTAGAAGTTATCTGAAAATTCAAAGATGAAAAGTTGCATCTAAAAACAGATTTGGCCATTTCAGAGGTATAATAGCTGGAGCTGTGAATGAAGTAACCAAGTCCCGGGTGTAGAAAAAGCAAGAGGCAGGGGCAGGACCTGGGGAAATGCTATGTTTAGAGGGCAGAAAAGGAAAAAAGTCCCTTCTCTTAGGAAAATGCAAGTCACCGGGAAACAAAGACAACAGAGAAAACAAAGAAAATGGAATAACAATAAAATTTACAGTGCTGTATGATGCAGAAAAGGATAAGGAATGGAAAAACGTGACTTTTTTATGAATATAAAAACTAGAATATGAAACTGCATAAAAAACTGCTGAGAAATTCTGAAGTTCATTTGCATATGAAAAAGGAAATGTATGTCAACAGATTTCCTAATCTATGGTCTCTGTTACCCAAATACTTAATATTCTTTAAATATGCATGACTCTTTTAGTCAAGGTGATTTTCTTCATTTAACAAATACTTCATTTTAAAATACGTTTATATTATAGATACACACTGATACAACTTTTTAAAATGGCATGTAAGGTCCTTGTATGATCTGCCTCCTTCATTTTTTTTTTCAAATATTATACATCCGCAACTTTCCAATACAAACACGCTCCAGCTATAATGCAATCTACCCGATTCTCCGCTTTTGCACATGCTGTTTCTTCAGAATGAAATGCTGGTTTCCTTAACTTGAAAGGAAGACTCGGTTTTAAAAAATTAACTACTTTTCAGTCTTTCCTCACTCATTCTTTCCTCTGTGTTCTCATTGCAAATTTACAATTTTCAAGCACTATTGAAGGTATAATCTTTGTCTCTCTTCCCTGGCTTAAGTCACTTGAGGGTCAGGACTGTTACCCTATATCCAGGGGGTCTACTGGACCTTCAGGAAAGCCATAATGCATTTTTTGCATAGAAAAACGTAGAAAAATATATCATGACTTTCCCAACAACCTAATAGCATATAGCAGGCTCTAAATAAATGTTTACTGAATGAAAGAACACACCAGAGAAATCTTTTAAAAAAGTAGAGATATGTTAAGCCAAGGAAGCACCCAATCTTAAACATATCTGGTAAGATTCTAATTCATGATGCCTTCAAGGTGACTGTGTTATTAAAAACAAAGCAAAACAAAACCCACTATCCATTTGACAAGGTTAGTTTTACCTTTATGTTTTCGTAAAAAATCAATGCTCTTCTGCAGAACAGTAGATTTGTCCATCTTTCTAGCATTACCAGGAAGCATGGACCCCAATTCTTTAATGAGAACATTAAACTGATCTCGACGTTTCTTTTCAGATTTGTTTCTAGATACTCTGACAAAATAAGAAATAAAGACATTTATAAACAACCCATTTAATTATCATACACAATAGTTCAATATAACATTCCATTTGGACACAATAACACAGCATGTACTTCTATAAACACAGATGGCAATTTGTATTTGTACTTAGTAATTTCCTAGGTTACCAACGATATACAGTTAATTTGGACAATAATTTATCATCTCAGTTTTATAACTGTCGACAGAATTAACCAACTCTGCAGAAACAATAATTAATGTGACTTACTTCTAAACATGAATATGAGCGACTGACCCAGAGAAAGATAAGCGTGTTTCTTGGGGTATTGAGATACAGTAGGGTTTTTTTAATATAGTTTTGAGGACAGGAGAGTTGTCAATCAGCATAGAGTCTTTTACATTGATTTGGCTCAAAAAGGTGGGTCATCTGGAAGCAGAGGCTTGTCAGTTATAGGTGAGTTTGAAATTCTTAGATTAGTAATTGGTTAAAGAAAATCACAAGTCTCTACTTTTAAAAGAAATCAGCAAAAGAATGTCTGTGTTTTACTCTAAGAAAAGAAAGGATATTATGTATCATAAAAACACTATGTCTGGGGAACCAGCAGTTAGCGTAATGGCTATGTCGCTGGACTCCCACGTAGTCGACCGTGGTTCGTGTCCCGGACCCGGTGGCTTAAAACTCACGCCGGGCGCGTGTGCGTGCGTGCCCAAGATCCCGAGAGGAGAATGGAGGAGAAGGGATTGCGGCGTGACCATCACCCCTGGGGGGTGATTTCTCGCTTTCTGTCTCTATGTCTCTCTCTGTCTGTCTGGTGAGCGCACGCGCACTACAGTGAAAATCTCTCAAAAAAAAAAAAACAAAAAAAACAAAAAAAAAACCACTATGTCTGGAACAGGATGTAGCATACCACTATCACGTCTGTTAATGTTTGTAGGCATGACTCAGATCCCCTTGGAAACAACTTCAGAACAGGAAAAAGTCAGAATTTTGTCTTCACCACTACAGAAACTTACATATCAACCATTTGACATATATTGGGTCATTGGAAAAGTCATGACACATTTTTGCAAAGAAAAACATGAAAAAAATATGTCATCGCTTTCCAACAACCCAATATGCTTTCATGAAAATGCCAATAAAATAAACTCCATTCAAATTGCAGGCTTTGTTTAATCTAATATTTGCTAAATGTGTAACTTACAAGGTTATTATAAATATGAATGAAATATATTTTGTGAAAGTAAATACAATGTATAAATGTAAATTGTTAGATATTTCTGAATAGGAGAAAGTTATCCATCTAATGTAAGCTTTGAATCATAAAGAGAAACTTAAAAATGAAACTCACTTTACTCACTCTTCCCCTTTACTCCCACAGCCCAGCCTCCAATGCAAGGCAGTGACAACTTGTTTACATTATCTATCTCTGGACTCCTTGATAATGGAGCCTAATTTTTAAAAATCTAAGTAATTAGGCATAACAGCTGACCAACAGTAAGCATTCAAAATATATGTGCTAAATGAGTAATTACTGCAATTCTGTATATAGTAGTAACCAGAAAACCAAGAGCTCCTGTGACAAATCAAATTACTTATAAAGCAATCGATCGTTTTATAATACTAATTAACTGCTTTGTAAAGTCAGATTTTCTAACTCAATTTTTGTGAAGGCACAGCATTATCCTTTTCCAAAAGGTCACAGGATAATTTTATTTAATTTATAAACTTTATACTGATATTCTAAGCTCTTCTACCTTGCTAATATATCTAAATTCTGACAGAAGACAGCTTTTAGAAATCTTTATCTTACTATTTACTATTACATTCATTAACTATTTTACATCTGAAGTTAAACTACCTTTTTGCTTTGTCCTTATCATCTTCTTCCACCAACCCATCAAAAATACTACTGTCATCTCTAAAAGGAAAAACAAGGTGGACAAAAAATTAAGAGCAGATTCATTAAGCAATGGTGATAACTAAAATGACATCTGAATCGACTCAGTGACAGCCCAGGATTTTTGTAAACTTAATGGATCACACAAATTCCAACTCAATAATAACTATTAACCATTTTCTAACAAATCTTAGAAAACCAAAGTTTAGCAAGACTTAAAAGTTTTTAAAAGTTTATTATGTAAGTAAATGTTAAAGATATTTATACCTACCTATACTATACATGCAGCATGCTAAACAAGAATTTAATTGAACCAGTTTAAATATCTTATAACTTTCAGTAACCAGTGAAAACTATATTGATATATATATGCCATTAATTATTCACTTGAAACTTTTTACTAACTACAAAAGTTAAAAATCTTTTTCAGAGACATTCACTTTATGAAACCACAAATGATCATAAACATCACAGTATCAAGCACATTAATACTATTAACACATTTTAATCTGAGTTGCTTTACAAATCTCTATTAGCACCCATATGCCAGGCCCTGTTCTAGATGAGGTTACAGTAGTGAACAAGACATAACTGTCCTAATACAGCTGATTTTATAGCAGAAACACACAAACACGAAAATAGGTGGTAAGTTTTATGTTTAAAAAAGAGGAGTGGGGGGACCAGCAGGTGGTGTGGTGGTTAAGGAGCTGGACACTTCCACATGGTTGACCACAGTTCAAATACCAGACCTAGTTGCTTGCTTTCTCACTTTCCCTCTCTCCTACTCTCTGTGTCTCTCTCTGGTCAAATTAAAATAAATGAATGAATAAATAAAATCAAAATAAGAAAATAAAAAAAAAAAAAAAAGGATAGCTGGTGGGGCCAGCCTGTGGCATGGTGGTTAAGGTGTCTGGATCCCATAAAGCCGACCACATGGTTTGAGTCCTGGACCTGGTGGCTTGAAAAACGACACTGGGCACATCTGCCAGCATGCCCCAAATCCTGAGAGGATAACAGAAGAGAAGGGATTACGGTGTGGACATAGACCCTGGGATGTGCTTTCTTACTTTCCCTGTCTCTCTCTGCCTATCTCAGGTGAATGCACATGTCCTACAACAAAAATTAAATTAAAAAAAAAGAGAGAGGGTTGTGCTGAAAGGGGAACTCTCCTACACTGTTCGTGGGAATGTAAATTGGTCTAGCCACTGTGGAAAACAATATGGAGGTTCTTCGAATACCTACAAATAGAACTACCATATGATCCAGCAGTTCCACTCCTGGGTATCTACCCAAACGACAGAAGAATCTCAGTAGGAAAAGCACTTGCACATCAATGTTTATTGCAGCATTATTCACAACTGCTAAGCCATGGAACCAACCCAAAAGCCCACAGACAAATAAATGGATTGAAAAAGTGTGACACACATAGTCTATAGAATATTTTTCAGCCATTAAAAAAAAAAAAAAAAAAAAAAAACAAAAAAACCAGGCCCCTAGTGGATAGAAAGTGGTTGAATATGGAAGATTTACTGTTGAATGAAGCAAGCCAGGCTATGAAAGAGAGACACTGTATGTCTCCACTTAATATATAACGCCTATCTGCACTCTATGGTAGAGACTGAAAAACTGGAGAACATAAAATCAGTGAAAATAGTTATGGGCACCAGAGACAGTGTGGAGGGAGGGTAGGAGAGGGAAAGTGTATAGGAAAGGAAATCAGGGAGAAAAAACAGAGAAGCAAGACATCTGTGGGACACAGAAACGGTTTATTACTTATTGATGATAATGTGTATAGTATTCTCAACTGGGCAGATCTGAGGTATATTTCATGCTGGGTATATTCTCTTCACAAGTCAAATGATATACAGCAATTGAATATTTTAAAAAATAGTAAGAATTAAAAAAGAGAGGGCACTTGCTGTGGCCTGATGGTTCAAACTGCCAGACCCTACACAGCCCACCATGCAGTTGAGTATCAGATCCAGTGTTCTGCGAAATACACTGGATACATGTGCATGTATACCCCAAATCACAAAAATAGGGACAGGGGAAGGGACGACAGAGTGACCACAGCGGGTGCTTTCTCTTCCTCCTCTCTCTCTCTAGCAAACACACATACCCTCTGACAAAAAAGTAAAAATAAATATTTTTAAAAGGGTGTAATTTCACTTACCAGATAATTATTCTAGTCTGGGCAGTTAGGGAAGGACTTGTTAAAGTAGGGACCCTTAAGCTAAAATCCAAGTGACAAGAAGGGGCTGGCTAAGGGAAGAGCTAGGAAAAAAGCATTCTAATAAGAACACTTGTTAGTGGCTAACTTCTTAAGCTAAGAATCAGTATCAAATAGTTCCCAGCAATTTGTGAGTTTTTACATGAATTTGCTATTCACCTCTTTAGCCACATCTGTCTCTGGCCTGTAAAGGACTGCAGCCTATAAGATACCTGCTAGGCCACTGAAATTGCGGCAGACCTTCCATCACGGAGGTCTGTGTACGGACTTCTGGTGTCCCACGCATGCCCTGATATCTATGAAAGTGTTCATCACTTCCATGATATTCAGAGAGATAAGGAATGCATATATTATTTTTTTTTGAGAGAGAGAGAGAGATTTTTTGCTTTAGAGTACGTGCGCTCACTAAAGAGAAAGTGAGAAATCACCCCTCAAAGGGGATGGACACGCCACAACCCCTTCTCTGCCACTCTCCTCTCCGGATTTTGGGCACACACACGTGCCCAGCATGAGTTTTAAGTGGCCAGGTCCAGGACTCGAACGGCAGTCAACTACGTGGGAGTCCAGAGATGTAACCATTACATCATCTGCTGGCCCCAGGAACCCATAATAATAACCACCGCTATGTGTCTAAACACATAGATCCCCAGATACCTACCGTCTAGAATGGGAATTGTCAATCATTCAGAAGCATAATGCCTAAATTATATTTAAGACCTCAAGGGCAGTGAAGAAAAAGCCTTCCGAGGAGAAGACTACACACAGACCCTCTCTGAAACTATGGCGCAGTCCAAAACTATGGCCATGGTGCAGGCAGGCGTCTCTAGGAAAACTCTTTGCCCTCAGGTCTTAAGTTCTCCTAGAGAACTTCACTAATGAAAGGAAGGAAGGCTGCCTCCAAAAGTCACTTCTTTGTACAATACTAACTGCGAAACTCCTAAAGAATTCCCTACAGATGAGTTATAGTACCGTATTAAAGCAGCACAGTAACTATAGAGGCAAACAGATTCATTCGCACAAGCCAAAATTCCAGCTAATCATGTACTAGCTATGTAACCTTAAACAAATTATTTACCTCCTCTGATCTACAGTTTCCTTATCTGTAAAACCTTATGGAAATATTATGAGGTTAAATAAAATTACATACAAAAAGGATTTTGTATATTAGCTGCTAAGGAGTAGATGCTTTCAAAATATTACTATACTCCATCAAATTAAAGACACTATTGACTGTAAAATTCACCATGTTATTTTATGTGCCGCTAAGAAAAAAATGCTACCAATTAAATTATAGAAGCCAACTGTACAACTCAACAAATGTCACAGATGTTAAAATGTAAAAATAATAATAATAATCTTAAGAGAAAAGAAAAAGTTTTTTCTTTTCTTCCCCCAGGATTTTGGGTACACATGCACATGCACCTGGCTTGTTTCTGAAGCCACTAGGTCTAGGACTTGAACCATGTGGTCAGCCATATGGGATTCAAATGCCTTAACCAAAAGACCATGGAGCTGGCCTGAGTAAGATTTAAAGCTTCAAACTTCAACTAATGAAATCCTAATTACAGTTCATTAGTCACAAATGCTAAGATGCTTAGGGATAGAGTTAGTGGGGAAGAAATAAGATGCTGAGAGATAAAGACCCTAGAAAGTACAACTGGTACAATTTCTTTCACATCAGTTGTGATAAAATCACTCCAAAGTATAGCTCAAGACCCACTTAGAAACACAAGTCACAGGCTCTTGACTCTGGCTCTTGAAATATTGATGCACCTAACTATTATGGCATGTTTGCTCTATATAGAAGTTGAGTATAACAGTAACTATGCTTAAACATAAAACAATTTCTATTGATCTGACATAGCTCATTATTCTAACTGTGAATGTATTTATTTAATTTCATAACGGAGACAGAAAGATACATGGACCCCTGCCAGAGTCCTCCCACCAAGCAGTCCCGACCCCAGTCCTCTAGCCAGTCAAGTCCATGGACCTTCAGGTCGATCCAGGACATGAACACCAGGCCTTCCCACAGGGCTCCAGCATCGCCCAGTGGTGTCCCACTGCCCCCACACTAACCACAGTTGGGCCTCTAACAGATTTTAAATGGCCTTAAGTAATTCAAAGTAAAAGAATGTCTGAACACGTACCTGTCAACAATTGAGCTCATTTTACTACAGCTTACGGTAAACAACATAACATATTACGTTTTCGTCTTGTGGTAGACATTGGTACTTCTCTCCTTTGATAAAAAGAAAAATAAATGATCATTACTTTTCTTAAAAACCTATTTCTACAAAGCTAGCTTAAAAAACATTATATGCTATCATAGAATTTTCAAAATGTTTTATGTGTACCAAAGGCAGGGACATCATTTTCAAGCAAATATCTTTGGCCAGGGCACACTGGAGGCGTTTTATAATCAGCCATAAGTATTTGTCAAAGTCTATTTCCTGCTAAACAATATGGGCAGACTCTGGGTATGCAAGGATGAAACGGCTTATATTATAGGAAGAATCAGGGCCTATTCTATAGGAAGGGCTTTGAAGTTAAGAATGAATTTAAAATGATTTAGAAGATACAGACTGATGCTTTATTTAGCTGTTTTGCTATTACTGTTAACAATATTTTCTCCCAAATTAGTTGTTGTCCAGCTCACAGAAGACACAGGACTCTCTCTTTAACAGGCTAAAGATCTTGAGTTATATCTTTACTTTTCCAACCGATAGACACGCTTTCTTTAAGGGAATGGTAAAAGAAGTGCAAATAGGCCCAACTGTATATCCTAGGGCAATTGTTAGAAGATTCCACTGTACTTTTTTTTTTTTTTGAGAGGTTTTTGCTATGGGGCATGTGTGCTCCCCAGAAAGACAGAGAGAGACAGAGAGACAGAAAACGAGACATCACCCCCCAGGGGAATTCTCCTCCATTCTCCTCTCAGGATGTTGGGTACGCACCCACATGTGCACATGCGCCTGGCCTGAGTTTAGGCCACTGGGTCCGGGACTCGAACCGCGGCCGACTACATGGGAGTCCAGCAACATAGCCCCTAAGCCTACTGCTGGTCCCCCTCTGAACTCCTTTAAGTGCTGTTAAATTAACAAAACATGGGCCAACGGCTGGCATGGTGGTTAGGGACACTAGACTCACACACAGCCAATGACGGTTCAAATCCTGGACCAGGTGGCTTGCTTTCTCACTTTCTATCTCTCTCGCTCTCACTCTGGTCACATTTAAATAAATAATAAATAAATAAAATAATTCTAAAAAAAAAAAAAAGGGCAGGGGGACTAGTAGTTGGAGTAATGGCTATGTTGCTAGACTCCCATGTAGTCGAACACAGTTCAAGTCCTGGACCCCGTGGCTTAAACTCTCGCCAGGCATATGTGTGTATATGCCCAAGATCCTGAGAGGAGAATGGAGGAGAAGGGCCATCTCCCCTGGGTGGTGGTGATTTCTCACTTTCTTTCTCTCTCTGTCTTTCTAGTGAGCATATGTGCAAAAACCTCTTCAAAAACCAAAACAAAACCAAAAACAAAACAAAAAAAAACAAAGCAGTAATGGGAGGAACAACCAACTCATTTTGTTTGGGGACTCATCTAAGTTCCACATTTCAAATGGAAAAGACTAGCAGGAATCACACCAGAGCTTGCCATATTCTAAGAATTTGTTTTTTAGATGCCACCCTCATGTCCCTATACAAACTAAAGAAAAATCTCAAGTATATAACTTACTAAAATAGGATAAATGCTATTAGAAAGATTTTTTTTTTTAATTTGACATTAGTAGGCCAGAATGTAATGTCTTTGAAAGGATCAGTTACAGTTACTAAAATCCAAAGTCCATCAATTAGAAAGGATCAAGTTACAGCTGGGTATCAAATATTCCTTTATGTAAGCAACCTGAGCTCAAAGTTATCCAGTGATAAGGCTTCCCAGCTGGGTAGGCGTCACATGACTCTTATCACAGGGGCAACGATGGCATGATTTATAAACACCATTTTAAAACTAGCTTTAAAAAATACTCATCAAATGGGGGGATAGTAGTAGCCAATAAACTTCATAAACTGTTTAAATTTTGCCGAGTACAGAAGTAAATATGCTTTTAATTCAGCATGCAACATTATACATGATTGTAGAAAAACTCGCTATCTGGCTGTCCATCTCTGGAACAGAACCCTCACACATAAAACACTGTATCTTACATTAACAGTTAACTGTGCAGTCTCTAAGAACATGACACCACTTGCCTTCTGAATACCACCTGCTGCCACCTCTGAAGGCTTTCCATTCCTACATCACTAATTTCTCCCTCTATAACGGAATTATTCTAATCAACGTATTTACACATCCTAGTATCTCTTACCTTAAAATCAAAACAAACTGAAAGGGGGAAAAGAAAAAAAGCAAAAAACAAACAAAATACTTTTGATGCACCCAAGCCCCTTTTGCTACTATCCTACTTTTCTTCTCCCTTTCCTAGGAAAACTACCCGTCAGAGTTCTTTACTGGTTGCTGTTTCAATGTCCTCACTTTCATTATCTATTTTAAAATCTAGTGCTTATTTTTCACCAATATATAGGTATAAAAAAGTTTAAAGAGTACAAATGGTCTTCCTAGACCTACCAAAATTTCTAAGTCCTCTGTTCTGACTCCCATTTCTTACTCTTCATCACTTTCATCTCTTTAACTATTTCTTTTGGTATTTAACCTCTCTATCTCTGATATATTTTATTGTGGTACTACTTTCATTTTCTGGTAGGGTGCCTAGTTAGTTTATTCAAATTATCCCAGTATAATCAGAAGTAAAAGTGTCCCTGCTGTTATCAAGTGTGTTGTTATTTTAGGAATCATCTACTGAATTCCACTAAGAAATACAGGAACTTAGGTCTCTGACTCCCCCATCATTACTTCATACACGTGCGTGCTTCTCCGACATCCTGGACTCACAATTCTGGTTAGGTGGTTACACTTAGAGTTAACATTACTATGATTCTGTAAATGAAATTCACAGCTGAGCCATATGGTGTGCTATAATTACTTTCCCTTTCAGAGCAGTTTTCCTCAGAGTTAATAATTATTTTATTGTGTATTTAGTTTTGTTTGCCAATTTTGTTTCAAACTCTTCTGTCTTGTTCTATTCTCTATATCTTCATACTCATTGCACATTCTACCAATTTCACCTTCCCACAGCAATTTTTCTTGCACCCTTCCCACCTCCACCCACTGGAACTAGATGCCCTCTACTCACCCTGGTGATCAGTTGTTATCACGTGATCACTATTCACTATCACCCTCATTATTCCCTGAGTCTCTAATTAATTCGCATTCTCTGTTTCTTGGCCTATGCCTTCATGATTTTTAGTTTCCCTTTTTATTTTTGTTAAGCACCTCCGCTGATATCTGTCTTACAAAGGAGACACGGCAGGTACACACTTTAATACTTTGTAAGTCTGAAACGGTCATTTACGTACCTTTAACCAATTGTTTAATTGGGTCATGAATAACAAGCTGGAAATAATTTTTTCTTCAAAAATCTGAAAGCTCCATTGTCTTCTAGGGCCCAGTCCAAAGCCACTCTGATTACTAATCCTTTATATGTGAACTATTATTTCTTTCATTCTGTTCCCCTGCATTCTAAACTTTAACAGTGATGTGGCCTATTTCTGATTTGTTTTTATATCTGTACTCAATATAGATCCTTTTTAACTTGAAACTCTTATAATTCTGCAGAGTTTTCTTAAATTATTTTCTATTCTTCATTTTTCCCATATTTCCTCTGTTCCCTATTTCTTGAACTCCTATTATTTTAACACTGGGATTCCTGGACAGATGGTCTAACTTTCTTATTTTTTTGTTCCCATTTTTCATCTCAGTTTCTTTGTGTCAATTAAATTTTCAACTCTTTTGGTGAGCTTCCCATTTCTAATTTTATTTCTTATTCTCTTCCTCCTTTCATGGATGTAGCACCTCCTCCTACCTTTCTGAAACTACTGAGAATTCTGTTTGTTTTCAATTTTACGGGCTTACCTCGTTTCTCTTTCCATTCACTTGGCATTTTTCTCTTTTCCTT